AAGGTAGCCAGCATAATTACAGGCAAGAGGCATATCATCTTAGTCCTCACAGTTACAACGCACATGCGGTTCTGCAGTTTTGTAACATAAAACCTAAGTACACGAACCGTAGGTGTTATGGACGACAGGAACCACTTTCCATCAGGTGGGCTGTCTGCTGTGTTCTTTATATAGACAATGTATACGCTTGTTCAACAGGATCCCAGAAAATGTTCAAAAGGCTTCTATCGCCAAATTCAAAAAAATGGTTCAAGAACGTTTGTGTGCTAAAGGCTTTTATACAATAAATGATTTTATAGAAGATGGCACACCTTGGGAATGAAATGATCGCCTCCAGGCTAATTCAACTTGATAGAAATATTGCAAATCATTAATTTAACTATAAAAAAGTCGGTTATTCTCAGGTCTGAGGCTTCTTCTTTCCGAACTGGTAGTAGACTGATGGAGTTCAGTAAGATATTGTAATAATTTAATGCTGAATAAAATATTTTGAATTTGTATACTATAGTCCATTCGCGTTAAGAAAATAGTGAGTCATCAAGTGCAACGGCAGGTAAAGGTGTGTATAAACTGGAATAAAAATGTAATTCAAATTTATTTCATTATATTTAAATATATAATGATAATGTCTTTATTTTGATTTGAGATAATTAATCAACTTCTAGAACATGCTACTGATCTAAACAGTTTGTCACTGAATACCATAAAACAGTTGTAGCCCAGTGGTAACGCGCTTGGGAAACCGAGTGAAGCGAGTTCAAATCCCGGGTCTCGCACTTCTGATATTTTCATGTGCGAATCATTTCCAACATGATTACCACTTGTCTTAACGGTGAAGGAAAACATCGTGAGGAAACCTACATGTCTTAGAGAACTTAGCAAGTTTTCGAAAGCCATGTGAAGTGCGCCAACCCACACTTGGCCAGCGTGGTGGACTATGGGCTGACCCCCCTCGTACTGAAGGGAGGCCCGTGCCCAGCAGTGGGACGTTAAAAAGGGCTGAATACATATACCATAAAAAAACCGCTTAGGGTTTGTTTTTTCCCATGGTCACCAAAACAAGCTGAGTTATTTTACCAACACCTTACTTTTTGTACTCCTTGTATTATTTTTAAGTAACTAATAATCTTTTCCTTATTCTTTTTTGTTTTGTAAGTATAGTGTGTACTGTTAGTGCTTTACGTTGAAAGTGTTGCTTCATCGTGATGGATTTAGACGAAATTTAGTACACAAAAATAGACCTGGATATGAAAAAGAACCTAGAATAACACATAGGCTACTGTTAGTAATTGGAATTTGCCTAAAGGTGGCGCTAATTGTCAAAAGATGATATTTTCTTACATATAAATTAAGTCAAAAAAATAGTATTCTATTACAAATGACGTCCATCTTTTTGAAACTTTGCAGCCACATACAGATTCTTATACCTTAAATTTATAACATCCAAAAACTTTGCATGTAGATTAAAAAGTATATATTTTACGAATAAATAAAAATAAATTAAATAAAACCACATATAATTCAGTGTACAGTCGTGTATTAACATTTAATATTTACAGTTTTGCACAATTAAAATATTTTATAGAATAATTATTTATATCCTAAGCTTAAAAAATTCTTCTATCTAGTACTTATCTTATAGTTAGGATTAAAAGAAAGAAAAAATATTATCATTAAAATATTTCTATGATAATAACGAACAAACTATCTTCAAAGTACGACTTGAAAATTGATTTAATTCTTTATTTTTAAGGAGTACAGTAAAAATATGCAACCAAATTCTTATCTCACAAATCTAGTTTTACAAATTTTTACAGCATTTAGTTTTTAATTCTTAATTATTATATAAAATATTTATACAGCCACAATATAAAGCTTTTTAAATAATATATAAAAATTAATGTTTAATTTTTTTTTTGTTATAAAACCTAATAGAAAAATGTAGAGTAGTTTCTCAAATCTTAAGCCTACAAGCCATTAACAATTAATAAAATATAGTAAAAATAAAGACCCTTTTATGAGTAACCCTCTCTAACCATTCCTCTGTTCATCGTCAGATTCTCATGAGTAATCACATACTACAATATAGTCAACCTCTAAGGGCCGCTCCACACTATAGTGCCGATCACAGTCCGTTCTCGGTCCGATATCGGTCTGGTAAAGTATTGTTATACAAGAAACAATTAGTGTATTCACACTATTAGTAAAACTCACGTTCCAGTCGAATCACGCTCCAGCAACGCTTCTTGTATAGAAATAATTTACCAGACCTATATCGGACCGAGAACAGACTGTGATCGGCACTATAGTGTGGAGCGGCCTTTAGGGTAAAAAAAACAGCTTAGCTATGAGAACGGCTTAACTGATTTAGATGATTCATACGTCATTAGACTCGTCTTGACAACGTACTCGTAAGTGCTATATAACTAAAAATGGCAGATTTCAGGCGCCGATTTCTGTGTATTGAATTTTTTTTAATAAAACGTTTTTTTTATAAATAAAATGAACATTTTGATAGGTGATTATAAAATATATACAACTACATATATGTAATATTCGGTTTCAAAAGCTTCTATTTTCCACAAATTATCTACTCGTATACTATAAAAATGAATCGCTGAATGTGTTGGTAAGCTCAAATCTCGAGAGCAGCTGAACCGAAGTGAAGTACGAAGATGGTTAGTTCTTACGGAGAGAAAAATTAAAAAATAATCCTGAAAAAGTCTAAAAACAACACTTTGCTATACTCCCATACAAAAGATTCGTAATAATACTTAAAAGTCAATTTGAACTTTACCATACCATAAAGTTCAAGTGTTAGTGGAAAGGTTCCGGGAAGGCAAACCAATTGAGTGACGTTAGTATCGTATAAATATTAATGTCAATATTAGTCAATATTATTAATAAAAAAAAATTATATGTCTAACGCTGGCTAATAACTATTTATATCTATTTAAAACGTACCTAGCGACAAACCCGAGCGAAGCGGGGGTGAGCCGCTAGTATATTATAAATGTCACACATTACAAATCAAAGGAAAGTAAATAAAGAAGCTTAGAAATTTTTAAATTTAAACCAAATATATCTACACAAATATTATGAGTATAGTGTTATATACGTATATAGTATGGTATTATATAGTATATAGGTCCGCCAACCCACACTTGGCCAGCGTGGCCAGTATATATAAACTGTTTAGTCTTTGCCTTATTATATCATAGTACTCATAGTACCTGGGCTACCGAGCTTCGCTCGGAGTTTTTGGCCTAAATTACAATTTCCTTTTTTTTTTTTAAACTAAAAATTTGAATAAATATAAAAAAAAACAAGTAAAAACTTCGTATTCGACCGAGATTCGAACCTGGACACCTGTGATTGTCAATGTTCGATTCGTATATAGTATGATATTATAAAGTATATAGGTCTGCTAACCCACACTTGACCAGCGTGGCCAGTAATGAACTGTTTAGTACCTATTTGCCTTTAAATTATATTATATCGATTAAATTTATTATTTAGTTCTATTATTTTTAATTATTTCCATGAAAAATTTATAAGCTGACAGATTCAAAAACGTTAGTTTCTCTTAAATAAATAAATTTTACTTTGTAATTGGTATATTACTATGAATGGGTCATAGCTTAACTTGGCAGTAATTATTATATAACAATTATTTCTTCGAATTCTTTGGTAAAAATTAATATTAATTGTATTTAATATACATTTTTATTACTAATCATAATATAAACACTCAATTTAGAATATTTTAATAGAAATAAACTTAATATTTAAGAGCTTGAAAACTTTTCATAGGTTAGTAGTACAAATGTATTAAAAATTCATAATCTATACATATAATAAGTTTTAGCCGAGTCGATTCTCTACATTAAATATTTTTTGGAAAATCTTATTGAAATAGTAATTATCATCGATACAGAGGCCGAATCCATGGTTTTAAGAATTTTTGTCTGTCTGTCTGGGAACACATTACGAGAAAACCACTGGACAGATTTTGATAAAATTTGTTATGATAACAGCTGGTTATCTGGGTCAACATATAGGATACTTTTAACTGAAAATATCTAATTTCTGAGAAATCAATACTAAACGTTAAAACGGAACTAAGGACGAAGAAGTGAGGGTGAGTCGCTAAGAGTCGCGGTGAGTGACTTTAGACATGAAAGCTCCTAAGCTTATCTGTCTCAAAAAAACTTATGAAATATCTTTCTTCGTTCTTGTAGTAGAAAAATAGATGCGTTGTACAGTTTTCGTCTATCCTGCGGGTACCTTCACGCAATAATTGATTGAAAAATATAAAGAAATGCTTGAAGATATTATTTAATTTAAAGATTCCTTAGTGAACTGAAATAAATTGGACGTATTATTTCACCTTATCATAAAACGCACTACTTACTTACATTGTGTCTTTAAATTTTAAATAAATTTTAACATCTATATTAATTTATTTTTAAATTAACAAATAATATAATTTAAGCAACATTTAATATCTTTTTTATGAAAATTTACATCCTTCTTTTGGCTTACGTTTTGAATTTAAAGGAAGGCCTCGTATTGAAAGAAGGCCCGTGCCCAGAAGTGGGACGTTAAAAAGAGGTGAGTACATACATACGGTATGTCAATGAAATTAGAAGGATTCAATATATTTATAGGGGAAATAACTATTATTTTCAGTCCAAACCAATACTTCAAAATATTTACAACTGTATAGTGTATAGCTATCTTCAACATTCTTAAATAGCCAAATCCAGTGTTAATACACCAGCAAAAGTATAGACAAAAATAAATATTTTAAAATATAAAATAGAAGAAAATAACAATAAAAATTCACATATTTTATGTTAATTTAAAATAAATACAACGATTCGTGCATTTCTCTTAAGTGTGATGTTTAACAAATAACCCTTATTATTATTATTAATTATTATTAATTTATCAACTAAATTCGTATTATACTAAAACTAATTTTGAAGTAACATTCACCCTCCCAATAAAGAGGTAATGACATTTTCTTCGCTGTCATCATGGTAATAGAATTGATTATCGAACGTATCTAAGTTTAAGCCATAATCTTCTGCCATGACTATAGGTAGAAAGAAGAGAAGCAACAGAAGAAAGAAGTTCACGAAGCAAGCAGATGCGCCACCTCCGAGAGTAACTGAAAAGTATGATTAAATATTATGTATTAATTCAGTTATGTTATTTATAAGAAAGTGACTTATTAATTAATTAAAGTTTTCCATTTTTTATATAATACTAGAGACGTATCCTCGCTTCGCTCGGGTGTGTCTCTTGGAACGTTTTGGAAAGCAGTTAGCTTTAACATTTTGTATAGAATATGTATACGTACGTAAATAGGTATAAAAAAACTTTCTTTATTTCTCACCAAAATTATAGGATTTTTAATTGAATTAACGAATTTTTAACACGAGAATTTATTCGTTCTAAATAGAAACTTTCAACCCCTATTTCACCCCCTTTAAGATTCTTTTTTGGGACAAAAAGTAGCCTTTATCCTTCTTCAAGGTCCTATCCATCACATAACTAATTGACTTAAATGGAAATTCATATTATAAATAAATTAATACTGAAAATAAAACTTTTTTAAAACAAGATTTTAATTAAATGCTGTAAAAAGAAGAAAATAAATATTAAATAAACCAAAACGCAACAATTTATTGCATTACACAATTTACATGATATAAAAGTTTGTCGCGAGATTTACCTGTGTAGATAAACAAGAATATAATATTTTTAAAACGTAAATATATTCGTCATCTTTGGAAGTCAGCCATATTAGATTTAGAATGACGTTTAGTCAAATTTAATTTGCAAAAATTTGTTTACAGACAGACACCGTGACTGGTGAAACTAAAATATAAAAGCTTTTAATAGGACTCTTATAAATTTATCCAATCAAATGTGATGAACCAATACTATACTAAAATGCTCTATCATAACATTGCAGCATAATTTTCGAGATATGACGAAATAAATTAAATCCATACTAATATTATAAATGTGAAAGTTTGTTTGTTTGTAAGTTTGTTTGTCCTTCTTTCACGTCAAAACAGAGTGACGGATTGGCGTGATTTTTTGTGTGGAGATAGTTGCAAGGCTGGAGAGTGACATAGGCTACTTTTTACTGCGAAAAATTATCTCATTATGGGAAAACACGTTATAATACTAGTCAAAAAAAAATATTATCAGAATTACTTGAAATTGGTATTAATGCTGAAGAATACAATTAAATAAATACGTGTATTAGCATTTTTCGAAATTCATCCTATAAAGGGGTAAAAGTTTGTATGAAACCTACTTTTTTAGAGTATTTTTTTGGGTGCTGTAGCGCGAGCGAAGTCGCGGGTTCTGCTAGTAGCATATAAGTTATCTTGGCAAAGACACGGGTTTTCGCTAGTTATTAACAAATATACGATAAATAAAAAGCAATTTTAATATATTTCACAAACGAAAATAATTGAAATAAAAAAAAAACCATTGAACCTGAAATTAAAGTATATCGTGCTTCATAATTGAAGCCGAACCATATTGAAGGAAAATAAAAATATCTTTGTTACTTTTATAATAATAAATAAGCGACGAAGTGGTCGTTGTCGTTCATACAATTCTGTATTTATATTCTTTACTAGTAACAGCCTGCGTCTTCCATCTTACTGTATATATTTTCTAAATCCTATAGAACCCTACCTATATAGTGTGGGCTATTTTAACAGCCCACGCTGTATATAATAATAATATAATAACTATTTTTGGGACATTAACACACAACACCAAGTTTCATGGTAAGCTACGAGGCTTGTGTTATGGAAATCAGATAGTTGATAAACTAAACAAATATAACTTTAAATACGTATATATTATATTATAAATATAAACACCCATGACTGGAAACGAGCATTCGTGCTCATCACACAAATGACTGCCCAGCGGGACTCAAACCCGCGACCGCTGTCACAGCAAATAGGGTCACTACAAACTGTCCGAAGCCAAACGTGTGGTCAATTATGAAAAAATGTGAGAATGCATATAATGAAAAGCTTTAAGATCTTTTTCAGGATCAGAAATTTACCTCAGTTTTTCATTCAGGCTATGGTCTATACTCTAAAAAATTGGAAAATAAACATAGGAGCAGGAAGCTTCTTCTGGCTCCAAATAGCTGATTTAATACTAGCATGTACGGGTGCAGATCTAGAAGTCTTAGGTTTAAATCCTGAGTTGGGTCAATATTTTTAGTGAAGAAATTCTCATTAATAGGAGAGAGAGAGGAGTTAAGGTCGGCGCGTTACCTTGCTTAGAGAACACGCACAGTGCCGAATTTTGCGCATGATATCTCATATCTCACGCTCGGATCAAACTTTTTTCAATATAATATCAACTGCGCAATTAGGTAGTCTCATATTGATTGTCGTTTTTAAGGTTCCATAGCCAAAAGGCAAAAATGTCGAAAAAAGGAAAAATAAAAAAAAATTGGAATGGCATTCCATACAAGTGACTGAGGGATGAAAAAAGTTTCTTTAAAATTCAGATGGATGTTTCTAAGTCTAGCTATGGGATATTTTCCGTTTAAGCGTTTATCCGCTAAATTAATTTGATTGCTCATAGTAAATAATACCTCCATGAAACACAAACTTATTTATGTCGTCAATAAAATAAATATCGTTGATGGGTAAATATTATATTCCACTATAAGCGTAACAAATTAGTTATAGTTATATGTTAAACCAAAACATAAATTGAATGTTTATGCTACGGAACCCTCAGCATTCGAGGCAGACTAGCACTTATTTAGATTTTTATATGTTAAAGATATGATGAAAATAATATATGTATTAAACTATATAATACAACCGGTTCTAGAAAAACAAAAATAAATCTATCCCACGGGAACGGTACATTTTTGCGGGATAAAAAGTAGTCTATGTGTTATTCTGATGTATGAGCTATATTATTGTAAAGTTTCATAAAAATCCATTCAGTAGTTTTTGCGTAAAAGAGTAACAAACATACATCCATACATACATTCTTACAAACTTACGCGTTTACAATATTAGTAAGATTATTATTTTAAAAATAATTAAGTAACATAAAGAAAAATCAATTATGATAATTCAAAAACATACTTCTCTCAGGCCTTGGGTCTGTTTCCGGTGTTAAGAAGTCCAGCTTCGCAGACTGATTGTAGACGTCATACAACGTGGAGTAGCAAGATACTCGTAGTCGACCTCCAGGAAACAATTCAGGTGTCACTTTAAGTTCTACATTAACTTTCGCTATAAGAAGCCCGCTGTCCGACGGATGAAGACTAGTTTCTGATGCGCTTATCTGGAAGATGTAAAAATATTTGGTAAATTTAAAAAAAAATACTTTTTTGCACAAACACTAGGAAAAAATTGAAATATAACACAAAAAAGTTAGTATCTTACATAAATAATTAGAATCCTACATATTTGATAGAAGTTTTTATTCAAATTATAGCGAGAATTCTAGAAGTTTTTTTTTTAAATAAATAAAAACCGACTTCCAAGCACTAAAAAATAAAAAAAAAATACTAAACGGAGGTTTTCATTTAGAATAGATACCTATTCAAATATTTTCAAAGTCGGTGCCAGCCAATGCAAAGCAAATCTAATATATTTCGATACGTAAAACATATATACGTAAAACCTATTAGATATTCATATCTTAAAATATTGTCAGCTGCCACCGACTTTAGCCGCTAGTTTAATTATACATAATTTAACTATACAAATTATACATTTATACAGCACTTGTCAATAAAATAATAACTACAAAGATATCACTTCTATAGTATTAGTCTTGAATTCGCAGAAATAGAAATATTCAACTACACAAACTTTTAAGGACCAAACAGAATAATTGCACTTGAAGTTTAGTACGGAAGTGTTCTCATATCTCGCGGCAAAATTGCTTCAATAGGACGATGAATAAATGAATATTATTGAGATACAAGAGTTTATTTGAAATTGAATTATTGTGTACAGAAAATTCAATTTTTTATAATATTTATATTGGTACGTTTTAAATTAAAATAGATATAGTATGTTATCTTTCTTTATTCTGTAGACTTATATAAGATACACAATACCACCATACATTATTTTGTTATATCTCAAAGGGTTTAGGTACCGTTTTCATTAAAAGCTCTTAGACGGCTAATTATTTTCCGACACCTCCAGCACATATCGTTATATTTTAGCCAATGTACATAGAAACTTAATAAATTATATACTAAAATCTTACTCGAGAACCATTCTATCTATTGGTGAAAACAGCATGAAAATCGGTGCAGTAGTTTTTGAGTTTATCGCGAACAGACAGACAGACGCGGCGGAGGACTTTGTTTTATAATATGTAGTGATATAGAATTCGTGCTTGAATTAAAATTTATATTGTCGACAATTCGTTAAATTCATAAAATCGATATAGTAGTAGTAAACTATTCCTATAATTGATATAATCGATAACTCAGTCCGACTAATAATTAAAGTTCGTAGATCCTTAGATAGTAGGTAAGTATTTAAATATCTGATTTTGAAAATTTTATATAGCTCTCATCACTAAGAATATTCGTTTGCCTGGGAAATATTAATAAATAAATATATTAGAACTGAATATGACTTGTGTTATGGATACCAGATAGTTGGTACACTACACATATATACTTAAATTTAAATACACACATATTATAATTATAAAAACCCATAACTAGCTCCCAACGGGACTCGAACCCGCGATCTCTGGCACATTCAAATTAACATAAGCACCAACGTCTTCTCGTCTACAGGTTGTAAACCCAACTCTCTAATTCCTTTGCTAGCAGAAGAATCTTATAATTATTTTTGGACCATATATATTAAGATGGGAACAGTGCCGGATTTAACCTTAGCGCAGCCCCTGGGTAATGAAAGAAATGCCGCCCAGTTATCGAAATTTTGCATAAAATAGGTAAAGTTTCGATAAAGTTTCAATTATTTTTTAATTTTAAATTTTTTGAAAAGTGAAAAAAATAGGTATAATTGATTTCAATTTTTCGAAAAATTATTTAGTAATTTTTTTTACTTTTTTTTTGGAAAATAAAAAACGATATAATTTTGAACGGAGATTTACCGCCCGAGTACTCCTAGTGTAAATCCAGTGCTGGGTAGGACTATCCACTCATAGTGTAAAGAAGTAATCTATAATACGTGTTCTACGCAGTATTATTTATTTTGGGCTACATTACAATTTTTTTATAATAATATATATCGATGAAAAACATTATAGATACACAATCCCATGCAAAAGTTCTCTTAAAACTGTCACAAATTATGTTTAGGTAATTATTCTATTTGAAATAAATATACAACAACGTAAATTGAACCTTACAATACTTTTTGTTTTTACAAAAAAATAATTGAACATTTGTTCAAATGAGCGCTCATTTGGCAAGGACATTTTTTGTCGCTGATTGTGAATCTAGTACTTTTTTGATCGATTATAGTACCAAATTGATTATAATATCAAATACGTTTGTCCGTCTCCGTTGCGACACGAAACAAAAAAACCAACCAACAAACAAACAAACAAACACACTTTCACATTTATAATATTAAGTATGGATCATAACATATTTATTGTTTTACTTACAGTTTCTTCGTTGACGAAGACAGTGAGATTAGTTGCAGGCCTCGCAGGTGGAGATGTGCAGTTGGCGCGGAGTATCTCACCTGGTTGATATCGATCCTTATCAGTCACTAGCACTGGCAGTGTTGTTGGTAACGCTGGAAATGATTAATAAATGATTTTAATTCTACTTTTCAATTTAATATTAATGTTTTAATAATAATTTAATATTAAATTTAATTTTAATATTACTTTGAGTTACTAGCAGTACCCACGGCTGCGCCAGCGTTCAATCTACAGAAAACTTTTTGGCTTTATGTTATGTTACGTCCCGAACACCCTGACACGAGATATTTATATATTAGATATTTATGGTATAATTATTATCATTTTATTTCCTTTTAGCTTTCATTCTTCAGTTAGTTTTTAACTTTTTTAAGTTAATTAACGTGTTTATAATTATATAAAAATTATAAACACGTAATAATAAGTAAAATAATTATATAAAAAAAATAAAAACTCTTTAGAGAATCATAATATTGAGGAGGCCACATCGAATATTAATCTGAAAAAATAAGGAGAATCGAATGGGTTATCACTGGTTGCACAAGGTTAGAGTAAATTTAATCAAAAATATTTTTTTTACTATATAACTACAAAGGAGGGCCGTGATGCATATTTGCCAATCATGTCAGCATCTCTCCATTCAATCAGTCATTGAAATGACCGATTATTGACGTCCACAAAATATTGACTTAGTTTTCAAGATGTTTGTCGATTTCCATACAATAGGTATAATATTTCGATACCTTAATTCGCAAGATGGCTAATTCCATCTCAGTGATCTTTTCGAAGGCTACAAAAAGCTTATATATTAAATAGTACTTATTACGAATTCAGAAAAATAAATATTCCATTTTTTATAATAATAATATTTTTAAATAATCTAAAAATATAATGTTTTCCGTAATCTTGATATTATAGAAATAACAACGTATTTAATGCCCCATGAAAAGCGCACTGAAACGGATTTAGCCACCTTGTAGATATCTATTTATAGAAAATAAATAGAAAAAATATCTATTTATAGAAAACGATAATAAAATATTTGCCTAACATCGTATGCTTAATCGTTCATTTCATTTGTAGTTCATGTTTAACATTTAAGTTATTTAAGATACTACGAAGCAAGATGCAATCATATAAGTTTGTTCTGGACTGACTTAGATTGCATTAGACACTAACGATATAACGTATACCGTATGCTAAGGTTGACTCTCTTGATTGTAAGAGAACGAACAAAGTTTACTTTAAAATATGTGAATTCTAAATCAAAGTATTACTTCCGATATTTCAGGTGTATGTTGTACAGCTATTTACTTTATTTATTTTGATGTAACCTTATTTTATGTATAGGCAATTATTATTCTATCTATCCTAATTGTTAGTCTTATACTAAGAACTAGCGATTCACCCTCGCTTCGCTCGGGTTCGTCCCTGAGTTGATTCCCTATACAAACTTTCATCAAAACATTATCGTTCGATCATTCGTTCGTTTTTAACGTTTCTAAACGAAAAGGCTTAATTAAGCTAAGGCTTAACTAAGCTTGATCTGACCCGGACTCGAACCCAGGACTTCCGGATCTGCAGTCGTACATACTAGCCATTAGACCGAAGCAGTTAGTACTATAAATATATATAATAAGGAGTTCTTGCATCTATAAATAGACAACAATGCAATCAGGCAGACTTAAACCTCAAGCTTAACTCAAAGTAAAAGCAACAGTTACATTCGTTAGAAGAGAATCGCGAAGGCGAAATATCGTCCTATTAGCACTAACTAGCTTCAGATCTTTAAGAATTGAAATGTACATACTTCTTCTTTCGTATTTTTGACCTGGTTTTATGTATAATAATATTTTGTCTGGTTAGAATGAAAATAAAAATTAAACTCCCTAGATGTCTTTTATATTTAATGATACCAGCAAATACCGCGTCTACGCTCGCGTTCAATCTACAAAAAAACTGACTTTATGTTAAACTCGGGTTCGTCCTTATGTATTTATCTATACACATAAAAAAATTGAAGTGTCTGTTTGTAATGTCAAAATAACAGCGATCTAATAAATGCATATGAAATTATATACTGTACTTATAAGAAAAACACATTTTTGTCTGTCTGTCTGTTTGTTCCGGAGGATCTCTGAAACGTCTGGACTGATTTTGACGGGGAGTAGGGTAACATAGGCTACTTTTATTTAAGAAAAATAGTTAGGGTTCCGCTCAAAATTATTAAAACTTAAAAAAAATTAAAACACTAGTATAATATTAAATTATTTGAATATTGTTCATACAAAAATACTAAAATCGCGATTAAAAAATGAACAGGGTTAGGAGGATGAACAATATTTACGACCTATTCTCATACCTACCAAAAAAAAATCATTAAAATCGGTGGAGCTGTTTCGGAGGAGTATGATCACAAACATCGTGACATGAGATATTTATATATTACTTAATAACATTTCGTCTGGTTAGAGTAAAAATAAAAAGTAAATCTCGTGGATGTCTTGTGTATATTCGACGACACGTTTGGCTCAGTGTGTAGTAACCCTACTTGCTGTGCCAGCGGTTGCGGATTCGAATCCCGCTAAAGGCATTCATTTGTGTGATGAGCACGAATGTTTGTACTCCAGTCATGGGTGTTTATATTTATAATATGTATGTATTTAAAGTTATATATATGTAGTGTATCAACTATCTGGTATTTATAACACAAGCCTCGTAGCTTACCATGGGACTAGATGGTGCTGTGTGTGTTTGTCCCAACATATTTATTTATTTTTATATAGGCAATTATTATTCTATCACTATAATGATATAGGCAGTGTTACGTTTCGACAAATTTTCAACAGACTTTTTTATTTTGACGAAAATATATTGAGAGTTTGAGTAATAGGATATTTTATGGCTTAAAACAAAGTTACTTTTTGGCCGAACGTGATGAGTGGTCACAAAATTAACTTTATTTTTTATGGTAAGCTATGAAATATAAACTTATTAAGATAATACGTTGAGTAGTTTATGAAATATAAGATAGTTTCAGTAAAAGCCAAGTTCACAGCTGTTCCACGAGTTTTTCGGCAAAATTAAATTAGTTTTTCTAGAAATTAGTAGATATACTATAACATACATACTTATTTGCTATTAATAAAACAAATATTAAAATTAGATACGTAAATTATTTGTTCCCAACAATTTTAATTTTAAATAGACCAATTTTTTCGTCTCATCGGACGAAAATGCGATATAACCGGGGAAAAGGCGTAGTATATCCCAACTCCAAAAGCTGCTGCTAAGAATTTGTTAAAAAAATCAATGATTAAACTTGGCCCGACCTACGACTCGAACTTTGGAACTTTAGACCAAGGACACAATTGAGACTCTACTTTCAGATTAGCAAGAAACAAAGAAAATACAAAATAAAAATATAAATAAAAAAACAAAAGGTAACTACGTATATATGTATCTTTGCATTCAACCGTTTTTAATGGGCCATGGGCCTCCCTTCAATATGAGGGGTCATAGTCTACCATTCTGGCCAAGTCCGAGCAGACTTCAAGCCTTTCGAAAACTTGCTAGGTTCTGTGATAGATGCAGGTTTCCTCACGATGTTTTCCTTCATCTTAAGGCAAGTGGTAATCATAATAAAAATTATTAGCACACGAAAATATCAGAGGTGCGAGACCCGGGATTCGAACCGGTGATTTTTCACTTGGTTTCCCAAGCGAGCGCGTTAAAACTGCTAACACTGAGCTAACACTACCTTCTATCATTTTAGTTTACGTTATTATAAAATGAAAAAAATATAATAAGTAAGCATCAAATATGTACAAAACATTTAAATTAGAAATATTTAACTTAGCTGAAACTATAACACAATATAATAAACAACAAATAACTATAAAACAATATAAATAACTTTGCTCATTAATAAATGATATTTCTAAATTAAATCAATTGAAAGAAAATATTCCATGAAAACTTGTGTTTGTCTGAAGAATATTTTTCATATTTTTGTAGTATTCTTTTATTATTTGAAGCGTATAATGTTAGGATAATGAACTTTATACTCTTCTAAAATATGAGACTTTAATATTCATATTGAGAAAATGGATAACAATTTGATGATTGGTTCTTCCTATACATAGCAACCGGCAAGAAAAGACGACATGATATTTGATACCCAATTGAAGTATATTTTAGAGTGTACGTTACACAATATATTCGCTAATTACGAACCGGTATTTACACCTTATCAAGTTTTAACAAAATCCCTCCAGTAGTCTTTCCGAGATAGACAAAAATCCTAAAAATTACCGATTGAGCGTCTGTATCGATAGTAATGTCTATTTCAATAAGATTTTCAAAAAATTATTTAATGTACTGATTCGATTCAAAATTTTATATATATATATATATATATATATATATATATATATATATATATATATATATATATATATATATATATATATATATAAAGATTGTTTATGACTGGAAAAGCTCAAAAAATACTTTAGCAAAATGATTCTCATATAATATTCGTTAGTTGCACTTTATTGTGTAAAAATAAAACAACGTACGAGTAAACCAATTTAAATGTAATGGCTAGAATAATTTATACCTATATATAGCATTTTCATTTTCAAATGAAAATTATGCATACATAAAACTTTTATAACTTTATTATGTTTCATTTATACTATAATAATTTTACAGTGTTTGTTTAGTTATGGTTACTTCAATTTAAATTTTACTTTCGTGTATTTGAAATTATTGTTATAACTTGCGACTTGCCCTCATTTCGTTCGGGTGCTTCAATTGCCAAGTACATTTTAAATATATAAAAATAGATATTGTGAGTGTAGTTTATGAGATAGGCTATCGTCGACTTTTCTTGTGTGCCTTTTGAAGACTTATAATTTTATTTGATGTATCTCTCAACTTTCTTAAGGTTTAGCCAGCGTTAGCCTTGTAAGAGAGAATTAATATTTATATTATACATATAGTAAAATTGTAACTGATGGCTGTCTGTACACGGATGATATCTGAGAAAAACTATTATTGATTGATGGTCTTTTTTAACACAATAGGA